CGTGGCTACAAGGGCGTGTACCGGATTTTTTTTGAGAGCCCTTTTTCTGAAGTTGGTGCCCAAAACCCGTAGCATAACGCACGTGCGTTGTATACAAACTGTCTCTTATACACATCTCTTGAAAACGGCGCCGTTAGGTTGCTTTCGGTCCCCCTGTCGTTTTTTTTTTTTTTTCTTAATTCCAACCTGCATTGTCTTGACCCAACCACGCAGCACATGTTCCCGCTCTGTAGGGTGTAGTGGAACGACGCTGACTTAATTACGTTTAGGCTCAAGGGCGCGTGTAGGGCTGCCCTTGAGTTTTTTCAAGCCGAGGGTAGTGGAGGGAGGCCCCAAATCTTTTCAATCTTTTTTTCCCCCTTTCTATTGATTACCCCGGCCCCGATCGGCGGCTCCACCTTCCCTGACCACTGCTGTTAGGGCAGGGGGCAACATGCAACCCTTTCATTGAAAGGTAGCTACGCATGCAGGGATCCCTTGTATAGGCTAGTGATAGGTAGGCAGTGAAGGATGAATTTGAAAGAAGAAACTAGTTCTTCTTTTTCTTCCTCTCCTTTTTTCTGTTTTTTTTTTTTTTTTGTCTTTTTGTTTTGACCCACCCACCCTTCCTCTCATCAATTTCCCCGGTGTACCCCTACCCGCCTGTCCTGCGTTAGTATTGACCACCCAGGACCATCACCCATCACCATTTTGGTGTGGTGACCTGACTAGACAGCAGTTGGAAGCACACATGCTGAGCAGGAAACCCTGCTCAGCCCCAGTTGAAGCAGAATCGCAGGAGCCCGTTGGCATGAACATGTTACTGCAAGCCTCGTGAGGGAATTCTTACTGACCCCCAAACTAGACGTGGGCGCCATAGTGGAATCTAAGTGTGTGCTCCTACAATCTTCCCCCGAACAAAACGCACGTATGTACTGTTCAACTTTCCCTGGAAAACTCGATTTTTCGAAGTAGCTCCTGAAAATCCGAATAGTACGCACGTTCAAATAGTACGCATGTGTGTACTATTCGAATAGTACGCATCTCTCTCTCTCTCTCTCTCTCTCTCTCTCTC